TCTTGCTTTCTATTTTGAATTTTTATTCAAACAAAAAATAGAAGATTTACTGTTATGCAGACTACTGCAATATTGTAAAAATTGTATAAATAATGTCACCCCATTCATGATTGCATATTAGAATGGCTAGTTGAACATTAATTGGACAATGACATCATTTGTTTACTTTTGAACATCGGCAAAAATCAAACATTTCCCCTTCTTTGAGCTCCATTTCAAGGTTCTTTTCATAGTAAAACCAATCAAAATCACCTCTATTTCTATAATATGTTTTCCATTCCATAAAAACGAGAATACAACCATAAATACTATTCGAAAATACACCACAAAGTTGGCATTTTAATCCAAAAACACGGTCAGAGATTTTTTTTTCTCTCATTATGCACTGCGTGCTGCAGGATTTTTTTTATATGGTGCACACTGACCACACAGACCAATTCTCTCACATGTGGGCCTACCAGCTTTCTCCTGCTTGATTTGAAGCCGCTAGAATTTTTGAGTATATATACGTCAAACACAGTGACTCGTAAGATGTATATATATGACCGAAACAGTCAAATGGTTATGGAACATGCTGATTTACATCTTGGAAGTAAAATGACTGTTGGAGAAGTTCCATAAACAAAATTCTAGTAAATACATTTAAGTATACTTTTTTTTTATTGTGATGCCTTTGTGATCTGTTAAACTTTTCCAGAGAGTGTCTTAGGTCATCATCAGCACTACAGCGTGGTGTGGGAAAGTAGAGTGTAATACCTGTGATATAACAGGGACCAATTTTGGGTGACAACAACTTTATGGTTTGTCTTGGACAGCAACTATTAATTATTATAGAACACATTATCTCCTTGCTGGTTTTTCTAATTTTTTAAACTTTTCTCACATTTTGCTAATGTTGTATTTTCTATTATATATTATGTCATGTTCAAAAAGTGAATCCTGATAATTATCTCCATCTTTCTCACCAACCAAAATTATAGTTCAAGCCAAATCTTATTTTTTATATTATACTTTTATGTAATAATGATGAGACAAATATCTGTAACGTAAATATTATTATAAGTAGTACTTTAATGTTTGTCAGTTTGTTATAGATTTACAAATGTTGAAGGGTTTTGAATATATCTCAGTTTCTAGAAAAGATGTGTAACTATCTGGCTTGTATTACATTAATAATTTTTATTTTTTCCAACAAGTCAGCAGTCTCCCACTGAGGCAGGGTGACCCAAAAACAAAGAAAATCTCCAAAAAGAAAATACTTCCGTCATCATTCAACACTTTCACCTCATTCACTGTTTTTGCAAAGGTGCCCAGAATACAACAGTTTAGAAGCATATATGTATAAAAATACACAATATGCCCCTCCCAACTGCCAATATCCCAAACCTCTCCTTTAGAGTGCAGGCATTGTACTTACCATTTCCAGGTCTCAAGTCCGGTTATATAAAATAACCAGTTTCCCTGAATCCCTTCACTAAATATTACCCTGCTCACACTCCAACAGCTCGTCAGGTCCCTAATACCATTCGCCTCCATTCACTCCTATCTAACACGCTCATGCACGCTTGCTGGAAGTCCAAACCCCACGCCTAAAACACCTCCTTTATCCCCTCCCTCCAACCTTTTTGAGGACGACCCCTACCCCGCCTTCCTTCCCCTACGCTCTCCATGTCATTCTATTTTGATCTATTCTCTCTAAATGACCAAACCACCTCAACAAACCCTCTTCAGCCCTCTGACTAATACTTTTATTAACTCCACACCTTTTCCTAATTTCCACACTTCGAATTTTCTGCATAATATTTACACCACACATTGCCCTTAGACAGGACATCTCCACTGCCTCCAACCACCTCCTCGTTGCTGCATTTACAACCCAAGCTTCACACCCATATAAGAGTGTTGGTACTACTATACTTTCAAACATTCCCTTTTTTGCCTCCAAAGATAACATTTTTTGCCTCCACATATACCTCAGCGCACCACTCGCCTTTTTTCCTTCATCAATTCTATGATTAACCTCATCCTTCATAAATCCATTTGCTGACACATCAGCTCCAAAATATCTGAAAACATTCACTTCTTCCATACTCCTCCTCCCCAATTTGATATCCAATTTTTCTTTATCTAAATCATTTGATACCCTCATAACCTTACTCTTTTCTATGTTCACTTTCAACTTTCTACCTTTACACACACTACATTAATATTAACCCTTAAACGGTCCAAACACATCGGCGTTCAAATTCGTAGTGCTACAAAAGTAGATCTACTTTTTTTTTACATATTTTCAAATATAACAAAAAAAAGTAGATAAAAGTTTTTTTTACACGTTTTCACATGTAAAAAAAAAAAAAAAAGATCTACATTTTTTTACATACTTTCAGATGTTGAAAAAACATATATATACATTTGGACCATTTAAGGGTTAATTAATAAAAAGAATAAAATCAATATAAACAATAATATAATAAGTGTATAACATGCATGGCTACTGTTTAGTTTTCCTACCTGCAAATTTTTAGCTGTCAAGAACTTCTGATCTGGTAATAAGCATTTAAAAAATAAAAAATTACTCAGCCCCTAAATACTGTATTCATCTCTCCTCTTGGACTGAACTTTCCATCTGCTTTTATGACTGAATTTTCTGCTGTTTTCAAGAGCAATAAATGTAGATATAAATGTACTGGACTACAAAAAAAAAAAAAAAAAAAAAGTCCATTAACATATTGTGAGAATCTCAGATCCAAATCACTATTAAGCATATACAGCATATTATCACTAATGAACTTAAATATCTAATTAAAGTCAATCTAACCCACACTTAATACTTTTCTGATGAGTAATTCAAAGTACTGCATCAGATTTTTTACAATGTGAAAGTTTGTCAAAGAAATAAATATAATTCTTATATCCCGTGTCTTGATTTCTTCCTCCACCCTACATGAAGAATAAGTCAAAATACCATGGTTGGAACAATTCACTGTTGACTCACAATTTGAAGAAGAAACCTTGGATGATTCTGTCTATCCTGTACCATATCAAGTCATGAGAGATGAGACTTAATAATGGTCACCAAATTTTGGGTTACCAGTGAATTTTTCCTACATTTCTGTCTACCTGTCTCCATGTCTGGTCTTGACAATACAATTAACAGCTAGCAGCTGTATTATTATAATGATCTTCAATCTTCTATCTTAATTAGAAAAAAATAATTCTTAGCCCCAATAGTTTTCAAGTAATGTCCTTTTATGGATTACTCACTCATTCTCTCATTCATATTTTTAGATAAAGAATTGAGGAATAAAAAAGTAGAGCATGTTATATTTTACAGCTATCATTTAAGTAAAATGAGATACAGTGGACCCCCGGATTATGTAGTGGTCGGATTTCGTAATATTCAGAATAAGCAACGTTTTTTCGTCAAGATATTGGCTCGGTGATCATCACTGACCTCAGTAATAGTCATTCGTCCTGAACATGTCCACATACTGACACACCATTTACAGCCTGTGTGCCAGTGTTCATCAACGAGTGAGGACGATCCCACGCGTTCATATAATACATTTTGTATTATTCCATTCTTTTAAGTGCTTGCAACTGTTAAATAAGCCATCATGGGCCTAAAGAAAGCTCCTAGTGCCAGACTTTGGTAAAGAAGGCGATAAACACAACAGAATTCAAGACAGAACATACCAGCCAGGGTACTTCTCCACACACCAGCCAGGGCACTTCCCCCTCACATCAGACAGGGTACTTCCCCCCACACATGATTTGATTTGAGTGGGACTTATGCATGGGTGAATAGAATTATCAAAGCTTATTGCTTGGGTAGCATTGAAAATTGGGTTGGACAAATATTCTGTTAGTGGGATGGTTTGTGAAGAACCTGTCTAATATGGGCCAACAGGTCTGTTGCAGTGCTCCTGCTTTCTTATGTACACCAGCCAGGTTTCTCCTTTGTATGGACTGATGAAGCCACTGTGTGGCAAAACATTTCCTCGATAAAGAAACCCAAGAGTTGCACACGTGTCTAATTTATCAACATGTCGGTTCTCTGAACCATTCATCTACAAACCAGCCAGGGTACTTCCCCCCCACACACACCAGCCAGGGTACTTCCCCCACACAAGACAGGGTACTTCCCCCCCCCACACATGATTTGATTTAATTGGGACTTGCGCATGAGAATAGAATTATCAAAGCTTGTTGCTTGGGAAGCACTGAAAATTGGGTTGGGCAAATACGATTCTGTTAGTGGGATGGTTTGTGAAGAATCTGCTTAGTATGGGCTAACAGGTCTGCTGCAGTGTTCCTGCTTTCTTATGTACACCAGCCAGAGTACTTCCCCCCCCCCCCCCCACACACACACACACACAATTTGATTTAAGTGGGACTTGTGCATGAGTGAATAGAATTATCAAAGCCTGTTGCTTGGGAAGCACTGAAAATTGGGTTGGGCAAATACAATTCTGTTAGTGGGATGGTTTGTGAAGGATTTGCCTAGTATGGGCCAACAGGTCTGCTGCAGTGTTCCTGCTTTATGTTCTTATGTACGCCAGCTGAGGAAATTGCTGCAGAGGAAGAGAAAGAGATGGAAGAAGATGCCTTCTTCAAAGATTAAGGACATTTGTGCAAAGTGGAGTGAGGTGCAATCATTTGTGGAGGAACATCACCCTAACCCTCTCCCCTCCTCCCATCTTCTATACACCAACAAGAGTTTTCAATGAAGGTAAGTGTGATATTATTGTTTTATACTTGATTTCTCATTCTTTTCTGTATGTAAATCTATATTTAATCTAAAAAAATCATTTTTGTTAATACTTTCAGGTGTCTGGAGCGGATTAATTGGATTTATGTTATTTCTCATGGGGAAAATTAAATCGGAAATCATCAGATTCAGGTTTAGTCACTCTCTCTGGAACGGGGGTCCACTGTAGTTAAAAAGTTTTCCTCGATCATATCCTTGCAACTTTTATAATGTAGTGAATACTACTCACAGCAAGGTACTGAGGGCCTAGTGCTGCTAGGTTATTTGCCGAGGCAACATTCCATAGGTTTTGAGTTACTTGATGGAGACGTTTCGCATCCTTTTCCTTTTGAGTGTCGGCAAATTTCACTACGAGTGGAGATGAGCAACCCTGAAAAAAGTAAGATTAAATAGAAAATTGGAAATCACCTTGCTCTTTCCTATGTTCACTTTTAATTTCCTTCTTTTACATATCCACCCAAATCTGTTCACCAACCTTTGCAGCCCCTCTTCAGAATCTCCCAAAAGCATGGAGTTGTTGATAAAAAAGCAACTGTGACAACTCCCACTTTGTATTAGAGTCTGCATATTTTAATCTGACATCTCTCTCAATACCCTAGCAATCACTCTCTTTACAAACCAATCTATACATATGTTAAACAACCAAGATGACATCACTCAGCCTTACATGATCTACATATCCTAACCTGACCCTCACTATCCTCATAACTCTTAATTTCATTCGGTAACCTACCACCTATTCCATACACTTTCAACATCTGGAGCATTGCTCCCCTGTCCACTCTATTATATGCCTTTTCTAAATACAGTGGTACCTCGGGATATGAACAGCTTAAAACGCGAACAATTATGTAAGTGTATTTATGCAAGTGCTTTTGTAAGTGTATTTTTCAGGGTCTGAAACGGATTAATCTAATTTACATTATTCTTTATGGGAACAAATTCGTTCAGTATCAGCACTTGAACAGCCTTCTGGAACAAAATAAGTTCGTATCCCGAGGTACCACTGTACATGAATGCAATGACAACTACCTTACGGTTTTCTAAATATGGTTCACTTATATGCTTCAATGATCTACACATCCCCTACCTTTCCTATAGCCTCCTTGTTCATCAGTGATCCTGCTCTCCATCTTACCTTTAATTCTTTCAATAATAACTCTTCCATACACTTTACCAGGTATACTCAACACGTTTCTTTCCCTATAATTTTTACACTCTTTTGTCCCTTTTTCTGCGAATCTCTAGATACCTTCCCCTTTTTCATACAATTATTGAACAAAAGTACCAACCACTCAAACTATAACCCCACCTGCTTTTAACATTTTTGTCATGATCCCATCAGTTCCAGCTGCTTTACCCACTTTCATTTTACCTACTGCCTCATGCACCTCCCCCACTCTAACAACTGGCTCTTCCTCACTCCTAAAAGATGTTACACCTCCCTGGCCACTACATGAAATTATTGCCTCCTCCCTGTCATCATCAACATCTAACAGCTCCTCAAAATATTCTTGCCATCTTCCCAATACCTCCAACTCTTCATCTAATAACTCCCCTCCCTCTTTTGTTTTTGTCCAATCCATTCATTCCCTACTCCAAAACTTTTTCTCATTCTCAGCAAAACTTGATGACAGAACCTCACCTACTCTCTCATTTGTTCTTTTACACTCCCTTGCCACTCTCCTAATTTTCCTTTTATTCTCCATACATTCTACTCTCCTTATATCATTTCTGCTTCATGAAAACCTTTCACAGGTTATGAACATAAGTCTGTTGAAATACTGTAACCATAAAAAATTCAACACATTTTTACTTTTAATCTATTTTTGTTCAGTACAACTTAAACTTTGTGGAAGAAAATACTTGAGCAAACACCTACTGACACGTTTTGGTCCCATTAATGAAACATTTTCATAATAAAATATCTTGTTTGCCTATGCATCCTTATGCATAACTTGTTTGCATCATATAAGACATTTTAACCTTAATGTATTATGTATTTCCTATGATGGACTATCAGATAAAACTGTAGGAGCTAGAAATGAACTTAATTCTCCCATAAATAATACATACCTCCATTGTCTGAGAGTGATGCATTTTTTTAATGGCATTGATGGCACACTGACGAGAAGAAAATGTCACAAAAGCACATCCTTTGCTCTGACCACTAGCGTCTCTGAGAACCGTACACTCCTCAATAGTTCCATGAGAGGAAAACATTACACGTACATCTTGTTCACTGTACCTCTTACTTAACATACCAATAAACAATTTACGTTCTGAAATATAAATTTTATTATATTTTATACTAAATAATTTTTTTATAAAAAATTATGTATTGTGCACAGTACAATGTAGCATTTATAAAAGAATGGTAATAAATTGATGTGAAATCAATGGAAGATGTGTATCAGCAAGTGAGAGCATTATCAAGCACAATATTCAAGCAACTTAATAAGGAAACAGAGGATGGAGTGAAAAAGAAAAAAAAACGATGAATTGGAGGTACAATGGCTTGGAGAGTGTATAAATCTCTAGTAGAGAAAAAGAGGGGGTAAGGGTCATCCTAGCAAAAGGTTTTGCATGTGAGGAGCTTGGACATCCAACAGTCTTGTGCGAGTGTGACAGACAGGAGTGAGTAGAGGCAAGTAGTTCTTATAACTTGAGGTTCTGTTGGAGTGTGAGAAAGGAAACATTTATGAAGGGATTCTGGGAAACCAGTTAACCACACTTGAGTCTTGGAAGCAGCAGGAAGTACAGTGACTGCACTCTGAAGGAGGGATGGGGACACTGCAGTTTGGAGGGGCATATAAACTGTAATGATAGAATGCCTCTGGCAAGAGTGATAGTGAGTGATGGTGAAAGTGTTGTTCTTCTATGGGTTACACAACCTCAGTGGGAGACAGCCAGTTTGTTAAAAAAAAAAATTAGGGCTTTTACTGAGTGAGATATTTTTAATAAGATGTTGCAATGTCTATCCTTTTTTTTCCAAATCAAGGTGATGACCATGAGCTTTACTAGCTAGAAATCAAGCCACAATTGGCAGACAGAGAACTGAGCCTCTACCATTAGATGAGTTGAATGATCCACATGGGTTTAGCAGTTCATGAAATATAATCTCCCCAAATAATTTCAGTGCAAACAAAGTGTAGAGAGCATCTCTAATTATACAAGTGTCAAACCAACGTCAAGACCTCTTTAGCAAATGTTTTATGTATTCATTCAAGTGTCTTTAACTCATAAAAACAATAGTAAAATTTAAGGAGGCATCTACCAGAAAAAATGAGTATGGTGAGAAAAAACTAGTGTCCACTGATAGGAAAAGCAAATGACAAGGTGTTAAACTAACAAATATAAGCATTAAAAAATTCTGAAAATAACATGAAAGCAAGAGTAACTAAATCATCTCACCATTTCTGTTCTCTGTGTCAGCTGGTTTCATCTGAATAGGGTGATGCATCTGCAATGGAAAACTTTTAGTTACACACTATAAAAAGCAATTATCATTAACCCCTAAACTGCTCAAATGTAGATGTATGTTCACTCGTGTAGTGCTCCGAATGTAGACCTATGTTTTTATTACATACTTTCAAATGGAGAAAATCAAGGTCGGAGTGCTACGCGCATAAACGTAGATCTACGTTTGGACAGTTTAAGTGTTAACAAGAGTACCTCTCTGGATATGCAACTCTGATTTAAAAATGTTATAAATCATGAAGCTTTAAACTGATGTATCTTTCCCTATTCTGGAGTCACAAATTAAAATATTAAATGTGCTGTATGGGAGTTTTCAATTTTGGATCAAATTACCTATTTACTCTAGGCATAAATAACTGAAGAAAAAATATAAACTTACTCCAGATAATGTCTTGATGTTGTGCATTGCATTCTGGGCCTCGAGAGCTGATTTGCGGGCATAGAAGGTTACAAAGCAACATCCTGGAGGAAAAAAAATGTGGTATGTGGACATCATTCTAACACGTGTAATATTTTAGAGCACAGATTGTATAATAGGAAAGAACACAAATATTTTAATATACATTTTTTAACACGTCAGCCGTCTCTCATCATGGCAGGGTGGCCCAAAAAGGAAACACTTTCACCATCATTCAACACACACTCCAACATTTACACACAATCACTGTCTTTGCAGAGGTGCTCAGATACGACATTTCAGATGTCACTCCAAACGGCAAATATCCCAAACCCCTCCTTTCAAGTACAGGCACTGTACATCCCACCTCCAGGGATCAAATCTGGCTAACCAGTTTCCCTAAATCCCTTCACAAAATATTACCCCGCTCACACTCCAACAGCTCAAGTCCCAAAAACCATTCATCTCCATTCATTGAATGATGATAAAACTTTCTTTTTTTGGGCCACCTTGCCTCGGTGGGAGACACCCGAAGTGTTTATTATATATATAGCCTCTCCTCACTTAACAATGGAGTTCTGTTCCTAAGACTATGTCGGTAAACAAATTCGTCACTAAGTGAGGAGCATATATAATGGTACTGGGTTTGTTTCAACCATCTTTGATATTGCTTTAATGTCACCTTTGCACCATTTATAATATTTCTGGTATATTATTAAATATTTATACATTATTATTATAATCATGGGAGAGCACTAAACCCATAGGATTATACAGTGCATGTGGGGGGGGATGGAAGGTATTCAGACTATTCAGGGAACTGGAGCACAGATCCAATTCCCTAGATCAAGAGCCCCTCACCAGCATCAAGGGACCTCCCTTGAGGGGAAATATTTATGCAGTAGTGTACTGTATACTGTAATACACAGAATAAAGGAAATCAGCTTTAATATGCATTATTTAGGTATGCATACTGGTCAGAGAGCTCATTGTAAGTCCAAGCTGTCGGTAAATGAGTATGTCGCTAAGTGAGGAGAAGCTGTATACTATATGTATCGTACTGTAACCACAAACAAGTGGTACTTAATCAATAACAATGCTGTGACTAGCCGAAGGCTCGAAACCATGTTTTGGCCTGCAGTGGGATTGGGTGGTCCTGTGGGTTGGCGTCATATGATTTTCACTCACTGTGAGGAGGGCCAAAAGAACATGGGTTCGAGCCCTTGGCTGGTCGCAGTGTTATTGATTAAATACTACTCGTTCATGGTTAAAATATGATATATACTGCTTGTGGAGGTTAGTACACCAAATGGAGTAGAATGAAATTAGCTCTAAGGCACCCACACCATCGTGTCCTCGGATCACAGTACGTACAATGCCTAGCTCTCTTGGGTGCGTGATCTTTGTAGGATTGGGTGGTCCTGTGGGTTAGAGCATTGTGTGATTTTTGCTCGCCATGAGGCGGGCCAAAATAACACGGGTTCAAGGCCTCAGCTAGTCAGTGTTGTTATTGATATACATGTACTGTGTGTGTGTGTGTATATATGTGTGTATATACAGTGGACCCCCGGTTAACGATATTTTTTCACTCCAGAAGTATGTTCAGGTGCCAGTACTGACCGAATTTGTTCCCATAAGAAATATTGTGAAGTAGATTAGTCCACTTCAGACCCCCAAACATACACGTACAAACGCACTTACATAAATACACTTACATAATTGGTCACATTCGGAGGTAATCGTTATGCGGGGGTCCACTGTATATATATATATATATATATATATATATATATATATATATATATATATATATATATATACCCTAGGTAGTAGGTTGGTAAACAGCAATTGCCCAGGGAGGTACTACTGTCCTGCCAAGTGAGTGTACAACGAAAACCTGTAATTGTTTTACATGATGGTAGGATTGCTGGTGTCTTTTGTCTCTCATACACACGCAAGATTTCAGGTACGTCTTGCTACTTCTACTTACACTTAGGTCACACTACACATACATGTACAAGCATATATATACACACCCCTTTGGGTATTCTTCTATTTTCTTTCTAGTTCTTGTTCTTGTTTATTTCCTCTCATCTCCATGGGGAAGTGAAACAGAATTCTTCCTCCGTAAGCCATGCGTGTTGTAAGAGGCGACTAAAATGCCGAGAGAAAGGGGCTAGTAACCCCTTCTCCTGTATATATTACTAAATTTAAAAGAGAAACTTTAGTTTTTCTTTTTGGGCCACCCCGCCTTGGTGGGATACGGCCGGTGTGATGAAAGAATATATACATGTACATGTACATATATAGTGGAACCTTGATTTATGAGTGTCCCAACACACGAGTTTTTCAAGATAGGAGCCGTCACTCAGTCGATTTTTCGCTCCGAGTTACAAGCCATCATCCAAGTTACAAGTGAGCTTCCCCCTCAACCTACAGCCAGCACATCTCGCTTGTTTATCCATGGACATCATCTGCCTTTTCTTCTCAGCACTGTCCTTTGCACTTTCTTTGGACTCATGGTGAGACAAAAGAAATTTGGCAAAATAACTGCACAAAATGCAAGCAAAATGCTAGAGAAATGCTTCCACGGAGAGGTAAACAGTGCATTGAGTTGGCGGCATTCTGAAGCTCCTCATTATTATTATTATAAAATTATTATAATAATAATTATATTATCAAACTCGTGAAATCGTAATGACACGAATGCAAACAAACAATACCACAGGTGGGGTTAGAACCCGCGATCAGAGGGTTACAAAACTCCAGACCATCATGTTAGCCACTGGGCCAGCGAGCTACAATAAGATTCATCCAACTAGGATGAATAGTATGGTTTGTAAGCCTGATTTTCTATTTTCTATGCTCAATATGACCCACATATATATTTGCCTTTTACCCATGAACATAACACTCAGGGTTACAGTTGATTAACCTAACCTAACGAAGATGCATTGAGTGAAATCCACAGAAAAAAAAAATTACCACACGAGGACAGGTTCCAGTATAAAAATGCATTTTACAAGAATCCAATTTCCCATCTAAATGAGAGCAGTGGGGGGCACATAGCGTAGTGCTGATGCTGCTGATCCTTATCCTATCACCTTCTCCAGGACTCCACTTCCCCCCCACACATCAGTAACATGTTTTCCCAGGCAGCAGAAGATGCTGCATCAGATACTGCACAGCATCAGCCCTGCAGCCTCACCCTCCTTCCAATTTGTACCTAGAAATCGTTGGGGGTGGCAGGTAATGTGGGAGACTTGTACATGCTCATATTTGACAAATTTAAACCTTGCTGCCGCTGTTGCTTTGCTGCTGCTGCTGCTGCTGCTTCTATTTTGATACTGCTGCTTCTGATGCTACTGCTGCTATATTGCTGTTGTTAGTAGTGTTGCCTTCATTCTCGTTACTGTGCAACTAGTCCTCACAATGCATCCTTTTTTTTTATACACCCAGGTCAATTTTTAAACAATTTATGCCACAAGACATTCCCGACCTTAGTTGCATCTTTGATGACTTCTTTTTTATTAGATTAACGTTAATTTAAATAAAAGTAAGCTCGTCTCGACTGACACTATTCTCTAACTGCAACTACGAAACTCCTCCTCGCTAACTACTCTGCACTATCTTCTATACCTCTCATTCCAGTAAGTTAAGGTAATGCATAAATTCTGAATTTGATTCACAAATGTAAATGGTATATCCTCATTCCTATCTGCAGAGTTCAAAAAAACAAAGGCAAAGTTAGCTATAGAGGTGGGTTCCTTGCAGAAGCAAATGCTATGATTTAACCATTTACAGAAACACAAACAAATACACACACACACACACACACACACACACACACACACACACACACACAGTGCTGTTTCTGGTATTTGTGAACGACATGACGGAAGGAATAGACTTCGAAGTGTCCCTGTTTGCAGATGACGAAGTTGAGAAGAATTCATTCAATCGAAGACCAGGCAGAACTACAAAGGGATCTGGACAGGCTGCAGACCTGGTCCAGCAATTGGGTCCTGGAGTTCAACCCCACCAAGTGTAAAGTCATGAAGATTGGGGAAGGGCAAAGAAGACCACAGATGGAGTACAGCCTAGGGGGCCAGAGACTACAAACCTCACTCAAGGAAAAGATCTTGGGGTGAGTATAACACCAGGCACATCTCCTGATGTGCACATCAACCAAATAACTGCTGCAGCATATGGGCGCCTAGCAAACCTCAGAACAGCATTCCGACATCTTAATAAGGAATCATTCAGGACCCTGTACACTGTGTACGTTAGGCCCATATTGGAGTATGCAGCACCAGTTTGGAACCCACACCTAGCCAAGCACGTAAAGAAACTAGAGAAAGTGCAAAGGTTTGCAGCAAGACTAGTTCCAGAGCTAAGAGGTATGTCCTACGAGGAGAGGTTAAGAGAAATCAACCTGACGACACTGGAGGACAGGAGAGATAGGGAAGGACATGATAACGACATACAAAATACTGAGAGGAATTGACAAGGTGGACAAAGACAGGATGTTCCAGAGATGGGACACAGCAACAAGGGGACACAGTTGGAAGTTGAAGACACAGATGAATCACAGGGATGTTAGGAAGTATTTCTTCAGCCACAGAGTAGCCAGGAAGTGGAATAGTTTGGGAAGTGATGTAGTGGAGGCAGGATCCATACATAGCTTTAAGCAGTGGTATGATAAAGCTCACGGTTCAGGGAGAGTGACCTAGTAGCGACCAGTGAAGAGGCAGGGCCAGGAGCTTGGACTCGACCCCTGCAACCTCAACTAGGTGAGTACACACTGAGTAGCTCAGACATCGACGACATCACGTATGAAAGGCCCCTTGAAGCTAGTGATCACATGGTTCTGAGCTTTGAATACATCATAGAGCTACAAGTGGAGAGGGTAACAGGAGTAGAAAGGAAAAAGCCAAACTATAAAAGAGGGGGCTACACAGGTATAAGGACCTTCCTGCAGGAGGTTCAATGGTTAAGAGTTGGTAGGAAAGTCAGTAAACGAAATGATGCACTATGTAACAACAAAATGCAAGGAGGCAGAGGA